ATTCACTAAATAATGAAACTTCCGACCATTTTAACAAGCTGGGTGGTAAAATTAAGGAGTTGCAAAGTATGATGGCTGGTCAAAGGCACGTAAATCAAGCTATGCKCGATTTACTGAGTAACATAATGAGTCTATATAAAAAAACTGAGAAACCAGTGAAGAAAAATATGGTTGAGAAAGCAACCCAGCTATCTCATATTTTTAAAGAGGCGAATACCCCAAAGCGGCTGCGTGAAGCATCGGGAGACATACCCCCCACGAAAAAACCAAAAAAAGCTACTGAGAAGGTGCAACAAATGACTAGTGAGCCCACTAAAGTAATACAGGAAAATATTACGGGTCAACAAAGTGCAGGTGAAAAATGGGTGGATGCTGTGGAAAAGAAGAAACCGATTCAGAAGAAAATTAGATCAAAACCGGACGCCATCGTAATAACCAAAACGAAGGGTGCGTCTTACACTGATATTCTCCGGAAGATCAAAAGCGACAGCGAGCTTGAAGATTTGGGAGCAAACGTGAGCTACATTGGGAAGACGATGAAAGGAGACTGATCGAGTTGAAAAAGCAGGCAGACAAGAGAGTCGAATCATTTCAAACCGTCTTAGAGGGAGCGGTTGGTAAAATGGCGCTGATACAGCCAAAAACCCATAACGTTACAATAGTGTGCAAGGACTTAGATGAAATTACAACACCGGAAGAAATCTGCGAGGCACTAAAAAAAGAGTTTGGGTTCCAAAACCTGGAGAAATCAAGCGTCAAAAGTATGAGGAAAACCCGAAGTGGCACATAGATCTTATTTGYCTTCGCGCTCAGGACGCTAAAGTTGCTCTAAAATTGGGAAAAGTAAAGATAGGGTGGTCTATCTGCCGTCTCCGAGAACACTCACCCATTACCCGATGTTTTAGGTGTTTCCAACTGGGTCATATAGCAAAGAAATGTGTCCGTCAAACTGACCGGTCTGCCCTCTGTACACGCTGCGGAGCTGCACGGCACGTAGCAAAGGTGTGCAAAAATGCTCTGTGCTGTATGCTTTGCAAAGGAGAGCACTCCGTCTTAAACATGACCTGTCCGAAGTACGTACAAATGACGAAAACAATGAAAAAATGAGGTTATTACAGCTGAACCTTAATCACTGCGCTGCAGCACAATATCTGCTAAAACAAACAGTTCAAGAAGAGAACATAGATGTCGCCTTCCTAAGTGAGCCATATAGACAGCGTTCGGAAAGCACTTGGAGTAAAGATAGAAGTGGCAAGGCAGCAATATGGGCCTGCAAAGGACAAGCTTTCTCATCCCGCTCCAAAGAAGTACATAACGGCTTTACATGGACGAAGAYGCAAGGTATATATTTTGTAAGCTGCTATGCTCGTCCTAGCGCAACAATTAGAGAATTTGAAGATTTTCTGTTGGAGCTGTCTCTAGAGACCAGGAACAAATCGCCAATAATAATAGCGGGTGATTTAAACGCATGGTCTACTGCTTGGGGTAGCAGAATTACAAATCACCGAGGTCGGCTCATTCTAGAATTTTTGAGTCAAACAAACCTCACGATTCTAAACAATGGCACAAAAAATACGTTTCAAAAGGGTAATAAAGGTTCTATAATAGAACTAATGTTTGCTAGCGACACGCTTAGCAGACATATTAAGTGGAAGGTAACAGATATTTACACAAATAGCGACCATATGGCTATAATCGCTGAAGTTTCGTTCTCCCAAGAAAGGGAACTGTTTCGGAGAAATCCCTCGCGAAAACGTTAAATGCCAAAAAAAAGCTCATGAAATCAGCCATTATCCGTAGTAAGAGACCCTGTTTCGAAAAGCTATGTGAAGAAGCGAACTAGACCCCTGGGGATCGGCATACAAAATTTGTATGTCGAAATTCAAAAATAAGTCGCAGCAGCCTAAGAACGCATCTTTTATGAAAAATGTTGTCGAAGCGTTATTCCCGACACATGCATCCATCTCCTATATTAAACGAAACGAAGCTACGGAGTCACCCCTATTAGTCACAGAAGGCGAACTATTGGCTATTGCGAAAAAAATCAAAAACTCTAAAGCGCCTGGAATAGATGGTATACCAAATAGAGCCCTTAAAGAAGCCATAACTCTTAGACCAAGCTTATTTATTAACATGTACAATGCGTGTATATTAGAAGAGGTCTTCCCCGATCCRTGGAAGATACAGCGCCTCGTTCTACTCCCAAAGCGAAAAAAGCCACCAGAAGAACCTTCATCTTATCGACCTCTTTGCATGCTCGACATGATTGGGAAAGTGTACGAAAGCATTGTAAGAAACCGCTTGGAACTAGCAATCCAAAAAGCCGGCGGATTATCAGAGAGACAATACGGCTTTATAAAAAAGAGATCCACTATTGACGCACTACGAGAGTCGTCGATATTGCGAAATCTGCAGTAAGTGGCAAAAGATGGAAAGTTGGCACAAAAAGTACTGTGCGCTGATTACCCTGGATGTCAAGATTGCTTTCAACTCGGCAAAATGGGCAGACATAATTAAAGCCCTGAATGAAATACGGTCTCCTGAATACCTCGTAAATATAATAACGAGCTATTTTAAAAACAGAAAGCTGATTTATGATACGGACGAAGGCACCAAGAGCTACTCTATCTCGAGTGGAGTACCCCAAGGCTCAGTGTTAGGTCCACTATTATGGAACCTTATGTATGACTAGGTGCTAAGAAGACAGCAACCAACAGATGTGAAACTAGTAGCTTATGCGGACGACCTCATGGTGGTAGCAGTCGCCAAACAATTAGCCGACCTGAGAAATAAATGTAATGAGTGCTTAAATAATCTACGCCAATGGTTCTCTTCTATGAGTCTCAAACTGGCGGAGGAGAAAACATAAGTTTTACTAATAAGCACTAGGAAGATAGAAGAACGAATAGAGCTCACCATAGGGGAATGCAAGATTACTTCGCAGCCGCAATTAAAATATCTGGGAGTAATATTAGATTCCTAATTAAAATTTAAAGAACACTTGCAGTATTCTTCCGCCAAGGCAAACAAAATTTAAAATGCCCTATCGAGAATGATGACCAGTATAGGCTGTGTACGTTCCAGCCGGCGATTCTTAATAGCGAAAGCAATGAGTTCCGTAATACTGTATGCGGCACCAGTGTGGATACAGGCAATGGATATAAAAGCGTATGCAAAAAAAAAAATAATTGCAGTACTTAGGCTTTCTGCAATTCGGTAATAAGTGCTTCCCGGACTATATCAACCGACGCTGCTGAAGTATTAGCCAGCATGCCGCCTATTGTCATCCAGGGGGATGAACTCGAACGTTTATATCAATTATCAACGCCTAAAACGGTATCGGCAAGGATAGAGGAGAGAAACAAGAATACTAAAATGTGGAAGGAGCGGTGGAATTCCTCATCCAAAGGGCGATGGACCCATCGACTTATACCGGACATCCACTCGTGAATAGACAGACGACATGGGGACTTAGATTTCCATCTGACCCAAATCCTTAGTGGACATGGATGCTTTAGAAGCTACCTTTTCAGATTCCACAATGACATTAGTCCGAACTGTCCGACGTGTACAGAGTATATAGAAGACTCTGAACATGTATTATTTTATTGCCCGCGATTTTCGAATACAAGGGAACAGCTAAAAACTACACTCGGCGGTAGTTTTACGGTCGATAACCTAAAGACACTCATGTGTCAGTCGACTRATAAATGGAAAGCTGTCAGCGAAGCGTCAGCGYTCATAATGACCAAACTGAGATCTTTTCAACAGACTAGGCGTCCGTCAGTCCAGGCACTGTCTCTTATACACATCTAGATGTGTATAAGAGACAGAAGTAATACCTAGCCGGTGGTACTGCGGGAGAGTCCTGTTTAGCGGATTAAAGTTCCGCACTTCGGCTTTCGATGCTTACACATGTAAAATGTATGTCACCCCAAAAACTACAAACATTGCTTCCCAAAAAAAAAAAAAAAACAGTCGTTTGAAATAGCATCATACATACTTATATGCGTACACATGTAAATGTGCGTATGACATTCCCACACAAATACAGGTATACGAAAAACGTATTTTCCATTAAAAAACGAGTTAAATGAATCAGAGGCGGAGGGAGGGGTTGGGACAAATATGTGCCATCAGATTTTTTCGATGGGTCATAGTTATCCCGATCAGTACTTAATGCTCCCAAGGCTTACATATAATTTCAACTGGTTTTTWTATGAAAGCTAATTTTATTTGTTATTCAATGAACATTTTCGGTAAACAAAAATTAAATACATATTTCATATTAGACTATAAAATAAAATTAATTTGTATTAATGAAAATATTTGAAAATAAGTATTTATTTGTGATAAGGTGCAAAGCAGTCCTTGCAGAGTGGAATCTGACATTCTTCACATATTGTTTTTGTACGTCTCTCCTTTTTTTGTTCTGCGCAACCAGCACAACGCCTCCGATTGCTAATTTGTATCGGTAGATGCCCAGCACTTATTTTTCTTTTTCTACCAGATATACCACTGCGACGAACAGATGCCTTCTTCTTTCCCTCTTCAATCATGTTTTCCGCCAAAACTATCATAAAATCAATCAGTGGGTTTTTTTTCGTCCCAGCTGAGAACTGATTACCCAGGAATTTCCAACAGACATCATAAGTAGTCTATAAAAAACTTTTTTCCACCATTTGGTAGACTTCCGGTCCAATTCGTATTGGCCTACGATTTGGTCAGCTCGATCAACTCCTCCCATTATCTTTCTGTAAAATTTTATCATTTCGGGACAGTCTACATTGACTTTTTGACCGTTTTGTAGCTTTTTTTCTATAGTCGACATTTCAGTTGAATGACAATTACTTACAACGATTACTTCCTTGGTATCATGCCATTGGCAAACATTAAACCTGTGTTGCTTTCTCGGAAAATGCATTGACCCTTCCTGAGCTTAATATTAATTTCTGGCAATTTCTTACGGTTTGGCATAACAGTTAATAACGCGGCATAATTCAAATTTTCAAGGAGGTGAAGAACCGATCAAAGCATAATGTGACATCAGTTTCTTGTATTGTAGCAGCTAATTTATTAACTACGCGTTCGCCAAGAGTTCCTTCGACAACTCCTTCTTCTTTACCACAGTAGATATTAAAGTCATAGGTATAGCCGGTAAGAGCATCACACCTAAGCCACATTTTAATCCCACGCTTAGTGGGCTTCAAGGGCAAATATTGTTTCATAGAAAATCGTCCCTTGAACTTCGTCATACTTTCGTCAATACTCTGGTATGCACTTTCCATCCTTGAACTTAAAAATCGAGATTTGAGGTACGCCAACATATCTTCAATATAGTGTAGTTTAGATGCTCCCTCTGGCTTTTCAGGTGAAGCAAAATACATTTTCGATGACAATAGCTGAAATCTATCCCGTGTAATAGCTGATTTTATAGCATCGTTTCCTATAGAATAATGTTTTGACCAATAGTGTCGAATAGATGGTAGACGATTATATGACATAATGATCATACAACCAAGAACAATCTTTATTTCTCCAATATCTGTAAGCATTGTATTTTTATGCACCGGTTTAGATTTTCGAAAATCTTGATGATCGATATGCTCAGCATCACTGCTTTCGATAGTACACTCCTCACCATCTGTAGGCTTATATTCTTCACTACTAAGTCCCGAAAAGTCTTCACCTTCATCAGAAGACTCCAAGATATTAGCAATCATATTGCGATCTATTGATTTTGACATTTTTAGTCTGTACAAAAGTTATAAAATTATTAATTGAAATAAAACGTTGACAATAAATGTGTGCTTCGGATCCTTACTGGGACCTCTTTAGCCCAACAAGAATACTGATGGGACACATATATTCCACAAACTTATAAATATCAATAATTACAAAAATACAATATAATGTTAGTACTCACCAACTTCACAATATGTCAAAAACACTAACTCAGCTATTTATTAAGGTTTCAGTTGATTTAAAACCCGTAAACTTACAAATATCAAAAAAA